TGGCGAGCAAGCAAGTACGTTTATTGTGTGTTCTGGCATTCCGTTGTCTTTTATTACTAAAGCCTGTTGTACTTGTTTCCATGAGCCGTTGATCCAATTAGGAGCGATGCTAAGATTGAATATAATGAGAGGAGCACATCAACTCAACTATCCAACTATTGTACTTTCTAGTTAACGTTCATGAGCTGTCTAAAGGCCCTATGGTTACTCTGCTACTTACAATGATTTCACGTTGCCTTTATGGAAAATATGAAAGAAACATATAAAGGTCGTGAATGAGATTCTGGCATGAGTATATTATGCTGATTGATCTGCTTGAGAATTCATAAAAGCAATAGAAAAGCATCATTTGTCAAGGAGAAATAATTACTTTTGACTGGTAAAATATGCAGTTTGGTTCCTCAGTAGTTTGACAGGGATCCTCCACACATTAACAAATATAAAGTGATGTCTCATTGAAATGTCTTTTCAAGAGTGGACAGAGGAAGTAAAATTATTTATCAAATATGTCCACTTCTTGCTAGGAAAAAAAAGGAGAGCCTTTTATAGCTCTTAGTCTCATAAGGCTTTACCATTTGCTAAACTAAGAGTATGTTGAGCAGAGACTTCTGAGTAGTCGTGTTATGCCATGACCTCTTCTCACCCAGAATATACCTGCTAGTTCACATGTTTTTTAAGCTGATTTTTTGGTGGGGAGATGAAATATTTAATCACAGTCTGTGTATCTTCCAGAAGACATGAACAATCATGACTCAAGAACTGAACCTCCAAATCTATCTAAAAACATAGTTTATAGCCCTATTGACTTACAATGCTTAATTCCATTTTACCAATTTCTTTCCAGTGAGACTAATTCTAAGCCTTGCTAAACATATCAACCATTGTTTTGTGGGGGTGCTGTGGTAGGAGCTTGGCTATCTGGCTAATATGCCTCTTTGGTTCAGAATTCCTGTTACATATGGAATTTCTCCCTGTTGCATAGAGATCATCTGTCCTCCAAATTTAGATGCATATATTTCAATAATGGCTTTCCGGGAGTTTATCCATTGTTTGTTCCATAGCAAAGATAGTAAAGTCTTATTTTTATATGGTTTAGTTATAATAATGCATGAGTAGAAAAAAATTGCCATTCAATGTATCCTGTGTTATCTTTTTGGTTTCCAACTCCTATAATGCTGGGTTGTACTCTGCAAAGTTTTAAAGGGATGTGAACATTCCAGAAGGCCAATCGAAAGCATCTAGCTGCGATAAACTATCAAATTTCCATTCTGTGTTTCTTTCCTAAGGACAACTGTTTGGAACCACTTTATTCTCTGTTAGTAAAGGCATTACGTGTTATTGGACTCAGCAGCAGAAGGAGGTTTTCTGCAATGTCCAGTAGTTGCGGGCACTTTGGGCTGTGCATACAGCATGGTGGATGTAACAAAGCACTTCTCTTGATGGTGTTTGGGCTGTGCACAGCTATGTGATGCCATCTGGTTTTTAGGCACCAATGGCATACAACTTAAGAATTTACCTTGTAGAAAAAAAAAAAAAACACACACACACAAAAACCCCAAAACTGGAATAAAATGGTCTCCAAGTAAAATGACACTGATTTTAAACCCATCTTGACACTTTTTACCCAAAAGGAAGCTATTCTCATAATTATGCAATAATATATTTTAATTCAAATTTTATAAAATTATATGGATGTCTGGATATTGCCTATTGGCTAAACCATTAGCCACTGTGGATGCAAGAATGCTGTATTCTTTTTGTAAGTCAATTTGTATTATTAATATCAAAATCGCAGATTGTCCTGCCTCTTAAATTGAGTACAGAGGGAACGCTCAGTAGGTAAACAGTCTGACATATTCAGGACATTCTTAAGCCACTAAAGTGAATTTTCTGCCTATAAGAGAAATTTTATGGGAAAAGGTTATGTTAACCCCAGAAGGTTGTTAGTGGATAATTTGGCTTCATGATATGTAGCATGACTTGGAGACATTCACTGGAAGCTGTGATTCATAGACTGAGGTTCTTCCTTTTATTTAGTATGCTGTAAAGGAGTGAGAACATGATAGACAGGTTATTCGGTGTAAGTCAATACATATGAGACAAGATTAAGAAGCATCTATCAGTATTCTTGTGTGTGGAACAATTTGTTCAACAAATATTTTACCAGTGAATACTATGTGCCCTGCACTGAATTAGGCAGAAGATGATGAATAAGTTCTTTAAGAAGCTGATAGTTGGCCGGGCGTGGTGGCTCACGCCTATAATCCCAGCACTTTGGGAGGCCGAGGCGGGTGGATCACGAGATCAAGAGATCGAGACCATCTTGATCAACATGATGAAACCCCATCTGTACTAAAAATACAAAAATTAGCTGGGCATGGTGGCGCAGCCTGTAATCCCAGCTGCTCAGGAGGCTGAGGGAGGAGAATTGCCTGAATCCAGGAGGCGGAGGTTGCGGTGAGCCCAGATCATATCATTGTACCCCAGCCTGGGTAACAAGAGCGAAACTCCGCCTCAAAAAAAACAAAACAAAACAAAACAAAAAGAAGCTGATAATCTATAGAGAATGAGAGTAAACCTTTCAATGGCTGCAATTAGTCCCGCCGTAGAAGGGAACTGATGAAAGCGTTTATCCTGCTAATGCAAGGATTCAACACTTCTCTTTCTTGGTGGCTTTGAAACATGGTGGCTGATTCTTTGACCTCTTACCCTTGAACTTGGAGCTAAGCCCTTCTCCTTGAACCTGGAGGTGCTGTGACTGCTTCAATCCACAGAATGAGGGGGAAGCCCGAGGCCTCTCTGAAGGCCAGGCAGCACTGCCCTATTTGCTGCAACACTCACTCCTGGAGCATTAGGCCCCTTGCAAGGGTCCAGCCTCCAGAGGCTGTGAGTGTGCACCCCTGGCAATGGTCCTGTGAGGTCAGTCTTTCCTTTTTATCATCTGAACCCCTAGACACTAATGGGCAGAGACTGGCCCACCCTGCTGTGTTTTGCCCAAATTCCTGACCTACGCTGTGGTTAACTGTGTAGCAGCAGATCACGGAAACACAGGAGGCGATAGCTCAGGATCAACAGGAGGTGACCATGAGGAGGGTGGGGCGGGGCTCTGGGCAGGAGCAGCCTCAGCCAAGCTGGTGGTGAGAGTGCCTCTATGCACATGTGTCTGTATGCCAACAGAGATTTGCGTTTCTTGGTCTGGACTGGATTATGACATCAGAGGATAATATCTGAAAACGGAGATTGAACAGCAAGGATCAACGAGCGTGTGAGCGCATGCGAGCAGCAGACATCAGCCTCTCCTGCCAAGCTGTACCACCCTCTTTCTCCCCTTTGCTAACAGATTTTCCTTGGCCTTTTCCTATCTTTGGAAGGGGAGGCGCCCAGGAAACATGTTTTATGTGAATATAATTATGCTACTGAACAGTTTCCACTAAAAGGAAGGTTATGAGTAGAAGGAAGCAAAACTCAGAAAAAACGTAAAGTGAATCAGTATCAAGAGACTGAACCCTCTATGACTGGAGGAAGAGCCATAGGGAAACTGATTTCTCAGAAAACTGATGTGTCTTCATACATTGTGAAGTCCCAACTGACTGTGGCTTGGCAGTCCAAAGCCATTTCAATCAGCAGCTCTTCTGTGGTGCCTGCAAGTATACTCATTCTTTTAACACTTTTAGACAACATAGCTGAAAATAGCAAATCAAGGCCACATGCGTGCTTGTGCCCCAAGCATCTATGCAAGGCACACAAAGTCAGAGAAATAAGAGGCTGCATCTTCCTCTCCCTTTTATCCTAGAAAACGTTCGCCACAAAAGGAAACACACTTTTGATTTATACAAGCCTCCTTTCCACGATGCGTGTCTATAATGTAAATATTTTATTTAACCTATGTGCTGTAGACCCGTAAGTGTCTGTGACATCCGAAATTCATGTGTTGCAGTCCTAACTTCCAATGTGATGGTATTTGGTGGTGGGGCCTCTGGGAAATGATTAGGTATTGAGGATGGAGGTTTCATTAGGCCATAAAGGTAGAACCCTTATGAATGGGGTTACTATTCCTATGAAATAGGCCCCAGAGGCCAGGCGCAGTGGCTCATGCCTGTAATCCCAGCACTTTGCAAGGCCTAGGTGGGTGGATCACCTGAGGTCAGGAGTTCGAAGGCAGCCTGGCCAACATGGTGAGACCCTGTCTCTACTAAAAATAGAAAAATTAGCTGGGGGTGGTGGCGCACACCTGAAATCCCAGGTACTCGGGAGGCTGAAGCAGGAGAATTGTTTGAACCCGCGAGGCAGAGATTGCAGTGAGCCGAGATCGCGCCACTGCACTCCAGCCTGGATGACAAGAGTGAAACTCTGTTTCAAAAAAAGAAAAGAAAAAAGAGAGGTCCTAGAGAAGTCCGTCGGCTATTCCATTATTTGAAGACTCTGTGAGAAGACGTTGTTTATAAGCGACTCAGCATATGGTAGTTTATTACAGCAGCCCAAACTGACTGAGACATTCCCCACACATGAGTTGTGAAGGTTTCTCAGTGTAGGATGAACAGGCATGTGCATGGTCTCCTGGAACAGTGTTTCTTGACCTGTGGTTCTCAGACTCATGGGAATTTACATGTGTATTTTTGGGTGTCTGAGAATTTTCTTTGAGAAAATGTACATTATTTCATTTTGGTGGCATTTTCAAGTATCTACATTAGCGTCCCTCCAACTTTACTGTGCATGCAAATCACTGGGTTACAGATCCTGTTCAGAATCATCAGATCCTAGGAGGGCCTGAGGCTCTGCATTTCTTTTTTTCTTATTTATTTATTTATTTATTTATTTTTAAGGCAGAGTTTCACTATATTGCCCAGGCTGGAGTACCGTGGCGTGATCTCAGCTCACCATAACCTCTTCCTCCTGTGTTCAAGCAATCCTCCTGCCTCAGCCTCCTCAATAGCTGGGATTACAGGCCTGGCCGCCACACTTAGCTAATTTTTTTTTATTTTTAGTAGAGATGGCGTTTCCCCATGTTGGCCAGGCTGGTCTTGAACTAGTGACCTCAGGTCATCCGCCCGCCTTGGCCTCCTAAAATGTTGGGATTATACGCGTGAGCCACCCCAGGCTGAGGCTCTGCATTTCTAACAAGCTCTCTGGTGACAAAAGTGTGAGTGTGGGAACAGTGCTTTGAAAAGCCAGGCTCAAGATGCCCCTTACAGCCTGTTAACTGCCAAGTAACATCCCTGCCTGCCTGTGCTTGTGTATGCTTATATTTGATCTAAGTTGTGCTGCTTTCATTGTCACAGATGAAAAGGAATGAAGACAGCCAACTATTGTTTGGCAGCCTCCTGGTTACCAAGAACATGCACCGTTGTCAGAGCAGAATCCATGAGATAGAATTGATGGGCACACGTACTTGGTGGAGCAGAATTGGGAGCTCTGTGCCATCAGCACTCTCCGTCCCTGCTCGCCCTTCATTTCTGCTGTCTGGGCCTGACTTCTCTGGGCACAGACTTTCTCCAGGTCCAGCGGCAGCTCCGTACCCTCCCCTCTTCCCCCTGCATCACTGCACTGTGCTGTTTCCATAGGCCTGTTTGATTCATTTCCTCACCCTTACTGTCAGGCATTCCTGACATCTGGGACTTTGTGACAGCCTGTTTGGATTAGATGGCAATTCCCTGTCAGCCACCCTGGAAACTCACATAGGTGCCCACAGGGACTTCGCCTCACTATCAGATCATGATATATGTGACCTTCCCTTGCACATAGCCTTGGCCTAGAGGACACTTGGAAACTGGGTGATGCGGTGAGTAGGGGAGGAGGGCCTGTTTTAATCACATAGAGCTTATGTACTGATGGGAAGCTATCAACCTATAAACATAAAGTATGAATATCTACCCAGAGTCTCACTACAGTATTATCTTTTCTACTCTACCCCTTTTTATTAGTGGCTATTTATTTTAACATGTGTCTTTGTTTATGAGTATAAATGGACATAGTGTTTCACAATCTGTGAGAGCCAGGCCGGGGTGATAGCCCCGAAGTAGAAAAAAAGTCAAGATCCAGTGAAAAGTTGTCAGCAACATGAAAGTTCTTCCTAGATTGTCAGTTTTTTAAAACTCAGAACTGTAAATAGCAAAAATCAGTGTGTTCTTTAGAAAGTAAAAGAGCATACTGTTGGAAAGGAAGAATACTTGCAAGGACTGAATCAGAAATAAAATATAGCTTCTGGCAGCAATTGGAATGCCAAAAAGAAGACATAGCAGTTATTTTAAGAATTATCATTATCTTTCATTTAAAAGTGAAATCGTGGGAGGCTGCAGAGCAGAGAAGAACGAGCTGGATTTTGAGGTCTCTCTGACTTGAGCTTGGATCATGGATCTGCTACTTTCCAGTCCTGTCAGTTCGGGCAACATGTGCAGTCTCTTGGAGCCTGTATCTTCTTCTGTAATAATAACAATATCTCACTGGAAAAGTTGTGAATAGGAAATAAATAATGAGCGTAACATCCCTCAAGAACACGTCATCCGTAGTAACCACTCAACTAGGAAATGACAGCTTAAAAAATGTGTGTGGAGGGGACTGATGAGGATCTTACATAGGTCGAAAATGTGATGTGATTATTCCATGACAGCAAAGAATTAGAGTTCAGAAACATAGCCTGCCACATGGGGCACAGGACAGAGCTTCCCAGTGGCTGCTCTCCAAAGTCCCCATCATGAAATTCATGGTAGTGAAATTTTTTGTGTGAAGGAATACAAAGTGACACTGGTTTTGTTTACTTATTAATTTATTGGTAAGTATTTCAGGTCTTGAGCTTCTGAGCATTTGCTAATATTTATGGCTTTCATCCCTGGCTCTATATTTCTGTTCCTTTTGTGTTTTCCAATACACATCAAGGAATAACTTTCTGTTGTTGTCATTCTGTTTGGTTTTTGAGATGGAATTTTCCTCTTGCCTCCCAGGCTGAAGTGCAGTGGTGTGATCTTGGCTCATTGCAACCTTCGCCTCCTAGGTTTAAGTGATTCTCCTGCCTCAGCCTCTCCAGTAGCTGGGATTACAGGTGCCTGTGACCATGCCTGGCTAATTTTTGTATTTTAGTAGAGACAGGGTTTCACCATGTTGGCCAGAGTGGTTTCGAACTTCTGACCTCAGGTGATCTGCCCGCCTTGCCCTCCCGAAGTGCTGGGATTACAGACATGAGCCACCTTGACTGGCCGGCACCAAAGAATAACTTAATGACATTCAGTTGACTTCATGAAGGGTGCGTGTTTGGTACTGCCTAAATCTGTGTTAAAAATTCAATGAACTGAAACTGGAGAACCGAATGTAAAGTTGGAAAACAAAGGGACCACTTCTTTCTGTGACTGGCTGATTGTATTTTATCTGGCGTTTGACACCTGGTGGCAGCTATGATTTTACTTTCTCCTTCTGATTATTTTTGTGCAGCTTACGTTGATTGAGAATTCTTCCATTCCAAGTGTCATCCCAGGCACTTGCTGTGTACTGACACGTTGAATTACCACAGCCATCTTATAAGGTAGATAATAATGTTATTCCTGCTTTGGGGATGTGAAAGTAGGCTCAGAGCCATTAAGTGACTTGCCATAGTCACCCTATTGGGTCAGCGTTGGAAGATTGAAACTTGTATTCCCACCATGAGAGGAAGCATGACATTTAGCAGGTTTTAGAGACTTTCACTCATTTCACATATATTAAATGTGCGTGTGGCTGTAAGATATCTTACAGGAAATGAGTAGTTAAAGCATTTTACTTTGTGTATTTGCTTTGCTTTTACTTTAATATGAAAATATTGGAAGTTTGAACCTGGACTTGTGTACCCACAGTGATGTATCTTAAGTAGCCAGCTGTTAGGTGTAGAGGGGCCATCTGTGTGGACTGTCTATGTCTACATTTGTTCCTGGGCTAATAAACAGCATTAAAACCAGAACAGAAAAGAAAAGGGAATGTTAAAGAGAAAATTATTCAGGACTATTGTGCTATGTGTCAAGACCATTGGAGTAGGGGAAAGAGATGGGGCTCAACTTTAAATACAGCCAAGGCAGCTGGGGAATTACAGCCAGCGAGCAGAATGAGGGGATCATTGGATGGAAAATATCTTAAGAGGAGACATCGGAGGCTGGGGGGGATTCTTGCTAAAGAATCCAACTTAGCAGGACTCTTGCTACAACTGGACTGGCAGGCCAAAGGCAAGGCACCAAGGGGAGCCCTCATTGAGAAGAGGGGTCAGAGAGGCCTGCATGAGGTTTAGTCAGGGAGGGGGGCTTTGTCAGGGCGATACTGGTGAGCCCTGTAGAGAATCAGAGAAACGTGTTCCACACAGAATTGAAAACTTTACACGTTGAAATGGCAATAAAGCGAGCCATTTAAGTTGGCTTTGGTATTTTTGATTAATTTTGTGATAAAGTTAAGAAATATTAAGAAAACTGATTTTCAATTTATTCCCTATATAGCTTCTCCTCTTTGGGGGCTACAAAATTTCATTAGCTTTGTTTTCACTCTTACACTACTGAGTCTTCTTACTTTAGTAATCAGATCAGCCTGTACATTTGCAGTAATGGCCTTTGTGGATGGACAGATAGTAATTAATAAGCAACCTACCTAAGGGAATGACAATTGTATAAATATACTTTCAATGTGTTTAAAAGGAGAACAAAACCCATTAAATGCTATACTTATGTACATATTTAGTTTTAGAAGGAAATAAGTCATTCTGTTACCATAGACTTTCAGAAACTTCTTCATTGGGTGAATTCTATGAAGAGTAAAATTTCACAATAACTTTAAAATGTATCCTGAGGCAGGAGAATTGCTTAAACCCGGGAGGTGGAGGTTGCAATGATCTGAGATAGCGCCCTACTGCCCTCCAGCCTGGTGATAGAGCAAGACTCTGTCTCAAAAAAAAAAAAAAAAAGAGCATCATGTAGCTAAGAATCGTATTCTGAGGTTTGAAAGTGTTATTATTATTATTATTATTATTATTGAAAGTGTACGATATTAAATGCATTTTACTTGACATTTCATGTAAACTTTATAAAACAACATAGAATTTGTTTTAAAGATTTTCTACTTCAAATTGTTGTATTTTTATTTTCCTTTGTTTTTGCCGATATCATGATATGAAATGATAAAAAGCCACATTAGTGTTTTAGCAAAAATAATCAAGACCCATTCTTTTGCATCCACGATATTCACAGACTTCTAATTTATCTTTTTAAACCTCTTTTGTGAACATACATATCAGAAGGTTTACATGGTTATTTTAGACATCTCCTCAATCAAAAGTTGTTAATATTTTAATCTTCCCAATCATGGATAATTTAGAAAAAGTAACATCGAGCATACTTCTCTGGAAAGCAATAAAGGATAGCCTTTAAAAATGACAGAAAAAATATTTTATTAACTAGTGAGTACCACTGGAGGTTACATTTCTTTTAGTCTTAGGAGGTTCAACATTTTTGCTTTTAAGTGGGGAGAACTGTTCTGATATTATTCTCAAAAAGTAGCAGAAATATAATGCAAACCACACATTAAACAGTCACTTAAAGTTTTGAATAGTAGAAAATGAAAGAATCTGTTGTTTCAATTACCATTAAACAGTTACAATTGCAGAATTTTACTTAAATGCCTTTCTTCTAAATTAGACTAAAAACATGCATTTCAAAGTGCTGAAGTTACCCTGACAATTAGTATTTAATGCTCATTTAAAGTTTTATTCTATGTATTAACTATCTTTGTATTATCTCAATTTACATGTCCCTATGATTTTCTGAATCTGAATCCCAGTAGCAATGCTAATGTATAAGCTAGTCTTTCAAGAAAGAAAGAAAGACTACAAATCACTTTTCCATGCATTACACATAAAGATACAGTTCAGTGGCATAATCTTGAGGAATTAGTTGTGAAAATGGATTGCTGCTGCAAATGGTAAATTGTATATGCTTAGTTAAGGAAGGACTTTTCAGTGTGAAAGTTTGAAAACATTGTTTCTTAGCAGAATATTAAACTTAATAAATGTGAAAAAAAGTAACTAGCATTGTAAAACTGTAGCAAAGTAATCTGACTTCATTTGACTTCTAAAGAGGAATCCCAGCACAAAAATAAACCTGCAGCCTGGTGCGGTGGCTCACACCTATAATCCCATCACTTTGGGAGGCTGACGCGGGCAGATCATGAGGTCAAGCGATGGAGACCATCCTGGCCAACATGGTGAAACCCTGCCTCAACTAAAAATACAAAAATTAGCTGGACCAGGTGGGGTGCACCTGTAGTTCCACCTACTCCAGAGGCTGAGGCAGGAGAACCACTTGAATCTGGGAGGTGGAGATTGCAGTGAGCTGAGATTGTGCCGCTGCACTCCAGCCTGGCGATAGAGCGAGATGCTGGCTTAGTAAATAAGTAAATAATAAACCTGCATTGCACTTCGTGTCTCCTGAGATGGCAACTTGGGAACAAACTCTGGAAGGTGATTGTGGAAGGACTGGGGCTACTGGTTTGCCTTCCTGATGTCTAGTTCACCCTGAATCTGTTCCTCTGCACTATGACGTCCCTCCTGGCTCATTAAGAGCATCGTACAGTGAGACTGTTTTACAGCCCCTTCTTCTCCCAGAGGGGCTGCAGAAGCCTGCATCTGAGTCCTGTGGCCGAGTGAAGGAATGGCTGTGACACGGTGCTTCCCACGGCATGCTCCAGAGCCAGAGGCTGTGGCTGGCTCCCTGCCTTACTAGCACTGACCTTGAATATGACTTTTTTTGAAAAGGAGGGGGGAGGGGGGCAAGAAAACTACTTACCTCCTTGTTTGTCATGGGGCTTCAATGAGATAATATATTTAAGGCAAAGCATGGTGTCTGACATACAGTGAATAGTCAAATATTAGCTAGCGCTTCTGTTTTCAAATGTGTGGGTTTGCATATATCCATAGTTGATCTTATTATCATCCTGCTATTTCTAACCCTCTTTATTCCAAACTCTTTCAGCCCATTCTCTTTGTATTCCAGGCTGCATCTTATCTTTGAGGATCTAGAGCACAGTTGTGTTGTGGTAAGGGATGGGGAGGTATGTGTAATTTACTTAGAACCACAGCGGCCACGTCAGTGTGCAGTGCAGTGAATGCGTGTCTGTTTCTTTGCTGGAATTCGTGCCTCTCATTTTTCCCAGTTGGACCTTCAGGGCACTCCTGTGGCACCCCTTCTCATTGGTTCCCTGGTACTCTTGGTTCTACGGTGACTCCAGCTTCATTAACTCTGCCCCGGACCTTTGCAGGAGAGAGCCATGCTACCTTCCCTCAGCCCTACATCTTTGGCCTCTTCCTCCTTCCCACCTTCCATGCAGACTTCACACAGCCCCAGAGTCACTGGGTCACCCTAGTCTGAAGGCAACATAAGATCAGTCCTGAACTTATGATCCTCAGCATCCCCCTGCTGTGAGCAAATCCTTCTCCGAGCCTTCCCGGAGTCCCCAGGGCTGACCTGCCTGGTGGCTTCCATGCTCCCTGCCCTGCCCAGCTTGCCAATGACCACAGCAGCTGCTTGGGGTCTGCCCAGACCAGCCTAGGCTGCCTTGGCTCCAGGCTCTCGCACCTACCCTCAAAAGAGTTTACCAGAACCTTCCTCTAAGAAAACAAATGGGATCCTGAAAAGTCCACGAGCTTCTCTGATACCACACGATTCCCCCAGAAAGCACAGACGTCCAGACAGAAAAAAGAGAGTGGGGCACGTGAGGTGTGGTTCAGTGGAGCAGCTAGGAGGGTCCACTGTGGTCCCCTCTCCGTCCTGCCCACACCAGCCCTCCGTGTCTCTCCCGCTTCTGCTCACCTCGTAGGTTACTCACCCTGCACGCTACTTCTCACCTCGCTCCTGTTTCCTACTCTTTTTGGTGAACCAGCAGCACTGCCTGGCTCTGGGTCTCCCTTTCTCTCTCTTTCTGTGTATGTGTATTTATCAGTGCCACAGCTGGAGGACAGGCAGGCAGAGGAACCACGTGTGTGGACCAGCGGCCGAGGTGCAGAATCCAGGGAGCACTTGCCACCTGCAGGCAGCACGCCTGGTCCGGCAGCTTCGCGCTTGGCTGCTTCCAGGCAGAAGAGCCCGGGCTCTTTCTCTCTGTCTTTGTTTCTCTGTCTTTCTCACTTGTGTCTCTGGCTTTTTCCTTGTTCTCTGACTCTCTCTGCTTCTGTCTCTCTTTTTCTTTTTCTCTCTGTCTCTGTCTCCATTCTGTGCTCAAGGATGACCCTAAAAGCAAGTGACATACTTCCAGGGTCACCTTTCCTTAACTGTCCCCAAGGATGGGGTCTTTGTCATTCGAGGGACAGCTCCTGAAACCTGGTCAGGAAGCAGGGTCAGGAAGCGTCCTGAGATACCAAAGGGCACTTTGCATGTATTTCCACTGTAGGCCCTGTGAGGATTACAGTAGATGGATTGTGTCATTATTCATAATGTATATGTTTATTTTTCCTCTAAATTATAAGCTTCTGGTGTAGATAGAAAAGTATACTCTTTATAACTCTCCTAATTCAATGTTTGCTGTAAATGATTGGATAACCGTAGTCTTTGCTGAAATTTGTCAGATAGGACTGCTGTGGATTGGCTTTGTTTGTTCTGAAACTTTTCCTTAATGTTCCCTGTGGTGTTGAGATTTCTCAGGAGCACAGAATGTTTCTTGTGTCACTTGGCGAATTTGGCTAGACATGTTTTTATTTTGGACGTATTTTTTGAAAATCAAACCATAGGTCCATGGTTTCAAATCACTCTTCAGTTCTGCTGTTGTTTTTGGCTTCCAGAGACAAGACCGATAGCAGCTTGCTACGGAATGTGTGCCATTGTCTAGGGTTCCAAGACTCTGCCATGGCTGCGGCTGCTCTCCGTGCGGCTGTGATGGCTGGCGGGAACAGCACTTCCCTTTCGTGGGAAGAAGGTGTGGTGTGCAGCACCGGTCACTGATGTCTTGTATGTGAAGCGCTGCCCTCCCTCTGACAGCTGCTTGCCAAGTGGCTCCATCCGTCACTGGGAGCGGGCATCACACGGCTCACTGCCCCAAGGGATCCTGAAATATTTCCCCCAACTTTAACATGTTCATTCTCTCCACCTTACTTTGCTGTGAAGATATCTATCCCACAGGAGGTACGAGAGTGACTTGCCTAGTTTAGAACTACGGTGTAGCTGTTTTGACTTTAAATTGTGTGAGTAATTTACATCTCAGATCCTGCTGAAGGCCTGCGCATTCTGATCAAGACACAGGAGACAGCCGGAGACGTGGAAAGGATTATGTAATGACTGTTGCTTCCTGGATTCATGGACCAATGGGGAGAAAAGCCAGTTACATTCTGTCGCAAGCAAAACACCAGAGGAAAAAACTCCTTCAGAGCAGAAGTCTGGATGCCTGCATCCCCATGCTGAGCCCGTCCAGCTAAGCCAGTGTTCCTGGAACCTCTGTTTTTGCTTTACTATTATCCTGATGAACGCCTAGACTGTCTTTGTCACCTTGATCATAGCTATTCAATCAAAGCTTATTAGAAGAATGGGATGTTAGCCAAGCACGGTAGCTCATGCCTGTAATCCCAGCGCTTTGGGAAGCTGAGGTGGGGTGGATCATGAGGTCAGAAGTTCGAGACCAGCCTGACCAACATAGTGAAACTGCATCTCTACTAAAAATACAAAATGCCTGTATTCCCAGCTACTCAGAAGGCTGAGGCAGGAGAATTGCTTGAACCTGGGAGGCGGGGGTTGCATTGAGCCAAGATTGTGCTACTGCATTCCAGCCTAGGCGACAGAGTGAGACGCTGTTTCAAAAAGAAAAAAGGAATGGCATATGATGGTTCTGTAATGAACAAAGCTCGTTCTGCCTGTTGTACAGTAAGCCAATCGCTGATATGACAAGTTCGCAGTGGAGAAAAGATTTTATTTACAGGCAGCTGAGTGAGAAGATGGGAGAACAGCAATCAAATCTGTCTCCTTGGAGATGGGGTTTAGGGATATTTATGGGATAGAGGAGCAAGATGGGCTGAAGCATAGGGAAAGATCATTGAGGGTAAGGAAAAGTGAGGTAATCAGTGATCTCTGCAAGTATAGCCGAGACTCATAGCTCCTCATGGGATGCATGTTCACAAAACAGCATCATTACCATGATGTGAGGGTGGAGATTTTGGCCCTCTGACCTCAAGAGGTCACCCATGGGATATTCACTCAGGTCCAGTTGAAGGGTCAGTGGTCTCAGCTGGCTTGAACTGGACAAGAGCTGACTCCAAGTTCCTGAAAAACAACTTAAGTAAACATTTCCATGGTGACCTACGCATCGGAGATATTGCCTACAAGGAAGATGATGGGAGTGTAGTTATATATTGCTTAGCTACGTGACTTTCAGCTATACAGATTTTAAAATCAACTAGAAGCAAGTGACTAAGGTAAAGTTTGGTGAGGCTAATCAGATTAGCCTTCAGTTTCAGTTCTAATGCATGGTGGTTCTAAGTTTCTTTTAGTGTGAAATATCTATGATTACATGTCAAAACATGTACCACAGGAAAAGAAGGCATTATTGAAAAAGTGGGAAATGATAAAATTCCTAAAGGCACGTGGTTCTTGGATGGCTAGAGAGAATGGGCAAAGGTCTCACACGAGGATAATCAAGACTACCCGGAGACTGTGGCTAATACCTGTGAAGGTAGCATCAACTATCAAATATCATGAACCAGGAAAAGGTCTACTGAGCCACAAAGTCAGAAGCTAAAGGTTAATTCCATCATGAATTGGAGTAAGAGTAGAGGCAGGTGGCAGGAGCCCAGAGACTTGAAGTCACAAGCTTTTCCAAAATTTGAGCAGTGTTTTGAAGTCACGGTAGCTATTGGACCAGTTTTATGAGAGTGGACGTAGGGCTGGCTGAGTCTTCATCTGGGCCTCCACTACAAATTTTGAGGAACAGTCAGTATTTCTTCCCATATGAACGGTTGGGCACATAGTAAACCATTAATAAATGTTTGGTGGAATGACTTTGATGTGACTCAACTAGAAAATGTGCAGTTCATTCCACAATTCCTCTGTTTGCCAGTGATGTACATTCTTATTCATTCTGTTTTGGCCTCATTTATAATACATAGAATGGTGGTGTTGAACATGCCGCCCTTCCGTGTATTGTAGTTATTATGTGTGTGTGTGCACATATCTGCATATAAAAGATTCAATCCAGCTTACAGCTCTCAGGTTCCTTTTCCTTTTCTCTTTCAAATTCTTCATGGCTTGTGAATGCTAAGAAAGCTGTTTTAGTCCTGTATTAACCTGATTGTCTGAAAATTTAGAACTTGGTTGCTATTGACATTATGAATTTTCTCATGAATTCTATTTTCCCCCAGAAGTTTCACTCATATATAAACTTGAATATAATGAAGTTAACTTCCTGTAATTCATTTACTCCTGTTATGTCAGAAAGATCATCAAAATTTGACATGAAACTCAGTTCATGTAAAGACTCAATTGTCAACTAGCTGTTGATCTTGAACAAGTCAGTTAAATTCTCTTGGCCAGAGGAAACACTTTTGGAATAGCAGAAAGGTCTTTCAAAAATCCACTTCTCCACAAAAGCAAAAAA